CCTGAAGATACTCCCACAGTTGGTGGGAATGAAACTGGAACAACTTCTGTAGGGGGCAATGTATCTGTCAAATTTTACAAATGCAAATATGTTCAAGATTATTTGTTGTAGCATTCGTGTCAATAGTAAATGATTGGAAACAACCGAAATCAAGAGTAAACTATTTAAATAAATTATATTATAAATTATGTTATATTCACACAATGGAATATTATGCCTTTGTAAATAACACTGTATTAATGCAGAAAGATCTCCAAATCATATTGTTAAGTGAGAAAACAAAGACAATGTGCTCTGTATGCTACCTTTTGTCTAAAAAGGGAGTATAAAAATCTATACTCACAATTATTCATATTTACATAAAGAACCTCTAGAAGAATGTCCCAAAATCAAGAACAATTGTTGCCTATAATAAGAAGTGCTGAGAGTGGCAACTGAACAGACAGGGAACAAGAATGTAAGACTTTTCACCATATGCCAAAATTTTCATATTCTTTGGTTTTCCACTCATTAAAATGTGTTTTTATAAGCAAACTTGTATAGCACTTATTGTCTCAGTCGTTGTATGCCATTTAAAATTAGTATCTCATTTATTATTGATATGTTAATGTGAATACTCAAATTTTAATTTAAAAAATATCTCAGGGATGCCTGCGTGGCTCAGAGGTTGTGTCTGCCTTCAGCTCAGGGCATGATCCTGGAGTCCCGGGATCGAGTTCTGCATCAGGCTCCCTGTGAGGAGCCTGTTTCTTCCTCTGCCTGTGTCTCTGCCTATCTCTCCCTATCTCTCTCTCTCTCTCTCTCTCTCTCTCTCTGCGTCTCTCATGAATAAATTTTTAAAAATCTTTAAAAAATAAAAAATACCTCATGAATGTCATAATTGTACTGCGGTTATGCAGAAAAATCTTTGTTCTTGGGAGATAAATTATTTAGAGATAGAATTATTTAGAGATGAAGTTAGTATATCTACTTTATCTAACTTTCTTTGTAGCAAAGAAAAACATCTGTACATCCATTCATGAGTATGTGTGAATGTAGAGAGATAAAAAGATAAAGTAAATGTGCCACCTCCCCCCAAAAAATGGCAAATCCATGTAAAAGGTATATGACTAACCATAGACTTATTTATGCAACTCTTTTGTAGATTTTAAATTTTCCAAGGTAAACACTGGAAAGGAAAAAATATCTCAGGAAAGTCCTTAAAAGTGAAATAAAACATTTCTGTTTAGTTTCTATAAACTCTTTGGACTGGTTTTCAAGGCTCTTAGATCACATCTCAATTCATCCATCCAGCCTTCTTATCCTGTTTGACCAAATCTTACCTTTGAATCACATCTCAAAAATTACTTTCTCAAGATGTCTTTTTTGAATCTTCCAAAAGAATGTGTTCTCTTACCACTTTGAATTCCTGTAGTGCTTTTAGTTCTGTTGAGATATATCATATTCTAAATGGTTATAATCATTGCATGTTTTTATTATATAAAACAAGAGATGATAATGTATATTAGATGCATATATTGATTTTTAAGATTTTTTTTATTTATTCATGAGAGATACAGAGAGAGAGAGGCAGAGACACAGGCAGAGAGAGAAGCAGGCTCCCCACGGGGAACCTGTTGTGGGTGGGATTCTATCAGGGAACTGTACTATCAGGCCCTAAGCTGAAGGCAGATGCTGAACCACTGAGCCACCTAGGCATCCCTAGATGTGTATAGTGTATACTTACCTACTGTACATACATTGTCTATAACAATAATTATAGGTTATGAGTCACTCCCTAAGAACTTAACAATTGAATGAAAAAAGTGTCTTTGATAACTTGGAAGCAAGATTAATTTATATGTGGTGGAAAGGAGTGAGATGGGCAGTCACTGGAAGGGGAGAGGCTATCAGCTCTCCCTTGGCCAAGCTGCTCCCTCTGCCTGCAACTCCCACTGTCCTTAACTCCTTCAGGTTCTCAGTCCTGGGTTACATCTTGAGCGAAGCCTTCTCTAATCTCTCTGCTAGGTCAAAGCCCCATTATAGCACCTGGACCTCTTCTTAGCACTAATCCCATCATATTGAACACTATGTTTAATTGACTACTATCTGCCTCCTTTTTTTTTTAAATTTATTTATGATAGGCACACAGTGAGAGAGAGAGAGGCAGAGACACAGGCAGAGGGAGAAGCAGGCTCCATGCATCGGGAGCCCGACGTGGGATTCGATCCCGGGTCTCCAGGATCGCGCCCTGGGCCAAAGGCAGGTGCCAAACCGCTGCGCCACCCAGGGACCCCCCTATCTGCCTCCTTTACCACACAGTACGCTCCAGGATGAAAGGCACTGTTAATATTTTTGTTCACCAGTCATCCCAATATGTAGCATGTGTCTGGAATTCAGTAGGCCCTAGCATTTTTTTTTTTAATGAATAAAATAAGAAAATGTGTCCATCTAGAGGAAGAGGGAGTTGATGAGACTTAGGAGAAGCAAAAATGAGCACCCAAGCACTCTCAAAGGGAGAAAGAGGCTGAATAACTGGACTAGACTTACACAATCCACTTATCTCATTTATACCTATACACACACTTACGTCATGCTGCCCTCCCCTACCAGTAACTATTACATTTTTTTAGAAGTGGAAAAGCCCTATTTTGTTTTCACTAATTGTTTCCCCAAGAGTTTCTCATTTCCCTTAAACGACTTATCAGGGCTTCCCAAGGGGAGGGGATGCCCAGAGGGGATGCCCTGGACTTCCCAAGATCCTCCGCATCCCCTCAACTTTTCCAACAAAAAGTGGTTAAGTTCCCCTCACAAAAATTGCTTCCTTGGGGATCCCTGGGTGGCTCAGCGGCTCGGCGCTGGCCTTCGGCCCAGGGTGTGATCCTGGACACTCGGGATCGAGCCCCATGTTGGGATCCCTGCAGGGAGCCTGCCTCTCTCTGTGTCTCTCACAAATAAAATGTTTTTTAAAAAATTGTTTTCTTTCTCCGAGGAGTTCTACGTCCAAACGTGTCTACTTCCCGAAAGTAACAAGAGAAACAGATGTGGGCTTCACACTGCATAACGACTGGTGATTTCCACTTCCAGTCTGTGTCCAAAAGCCAAAAGAGGGGGAAAGGAGACCTTTCAAGAATCAGCTTCCTCAGTAGGGGTTTTACGTTGAGCAGTACTTAAGGCGTTTTTTGTTTTTTTTTTTTGTTCTTGTTAAGGTTCCCAGCGAGACAGCTTCCGCAGGCCCTCGGAGCGACCTCCCGCGACCCCACCAGCCCCTGCAAATGGCGGTGGCCCCGCCGCCGCTCTCCGGCGGGAAAGCGCGCGCGCCGGGGGCGGTGCGGGCCAGGTCACGTGGACCCGCTGTGGCCAATGAGAGGCGCGCACCGCGCTCCCGGCGGCCCCCGCGCTCTCCCGCGTGGGCGGTGAGGCGCCGCGCGGTCCCCGAGCCCCTGGCGGCGAGCGGGAGACGTGGGCTGCGTGTCCGCAGTGCTCCGGCCGGCGCCTCCCCTCACCCTGCGGCTCGGCGCTCTTGACGCCGTTCGGACACCTCCCGGCCCTCTCACAGCGCCGCCTTCGGTCTGCACGCACCTAAATGCCCCCCAAAGGCAAAGGGAGAAGCGCGCGGCCGCCTCCTGGGCCGGGAAGCGGGTGGGAAAGAAGCGGGAGGCTCGTGCCGGATCCCAGCCCCTGGACGCTCGCCGCTGGCCCGCCCGACTGAAAGACCAGGCCCAGGGGCAGCCCGGGTGGCCCGGGGCGTGATCCTGGAGACCCGGATCAAGTCCCGCGTCGGGCTCCCTGCGTGGAGCCTGCTTCTCCCTCTGCCTGCGTCTCTGCCCGTCTCTCTCTGTCTCTCATGAATTAGTACATAAAATCTTAAAAAAAAAAAAAAAAAAGACCAGTCCCGAGTAAGGTTTTACATACAGAGCGAAAACAAGCACGTCGACTGGGCTGTTGGCCGTCACCCCATACGTGGAGCGGAGGAGCTTTGTTTTTCGCCCTGCTTCTGCGTGTGAGGCGAGACTAATTAGGGAAGCATTGGGCATGGGGCCTCCCATGGGGCACCTGGAAGGGGCTCGAGGAGGAATCTGTGAGGATCCAATGGTTTAGCTGAGTGTGAAAACGTACCAGGAAAAGTTTACAACATTAGTGATTGCGATTGCACAACCTTATGAATATGCTGAAAACCACTGGATTTTGCCCTTTAAGAGGTTAGACTTTATGGTGTGCGGGTTACATCTCAACTTAAACATGTTCTAGAAGGTAGTCACAGGTGACAGTCTCAGGCTTTAAGCAATCATTGTTGACACCTGCACGTATCAAAATAAAGTATTTTAGTCAATTCTGGTCTTTCTAGAAGATAGCTACCCTATTTGATATGGTGGCAAGAGACTATCAGGATGCCTGAAATTGCCCACTTTCTCAGTGGCTTGTACTTCTTTTTAAAACGGAGAATAGTCTGAAATTAGCTTTGATTATTCCTCTCAGGTGTCTAGCATATTCTTAATCTAAAAGTCTAAAACCCCATAAATTTAACACCTAATCCTAATATCCTTCACAACATAAGGCTTTAATTTTCCAACATTCAGGGACATTTAGTAAGCGTGCAAATTTTTGTAAGACAATAATTCAAGCTTATCTTTCCTTCATGTTCTTTCCTATATTGGCAAAATCAAAGAGGAACCTAAAGTGTATTTTCCCTACTTAACAACATGGACATTGTCAGGTCAAGTTAAAGACGAATTTGTATTAAAAGACAAATATGATCTATTTTAGTTAATTTGGGGTCATCTGAATGAGTTGTCACATCAACAACTCAGAGCTAATAGACACGAAGAAATTTAGTATCATGAGGCAAAGTCAGCTTTAGATTTTTACCGCCGAAGAACATTGATGAATAGATTTACCACTATCTTCTTACAGTTAATGTTTAAATAATCTATTTAAGGCCCAATTTTATGTCCTCAATACCAAGAAAAATATGTGCTAGATAGAATATTTATCTTAGCTTAACACAAATAATATCTTACCTGGGTTCCTTGACATGGCTGAAACTGGCTGGGAGCTGACAAGTCGGGTCATGTACTCCTTCTGAAAACTGTATTTCACCCACAGGGATTTGCAACAATTTGTTACTTTGGGAGAGGGATTCAGAAGTTCTTTAGGTTCACAAACAATGGTATCATGTTTTTTCTTCATGTTTTTTCCCTGTTGAAAAATATATCTTCAGAGAATTTCCCCCATCAGTATATATTCAGTATGTTTGATGAATATTGGTGTTCTCACAATACAAGCAGCCTTTATTCTACATATCTAAGGGTTATGGTTTAGAGTGGAAAATGGAACAGGGTAATTAAGGTCTTTTTTCAACTTAGATAAACATCTTTAAGATCTATGCTGTTGGTCTTTAGATCTGCAACACCACCCCACATCCTCATCTCCAAGCAGTTTTTCTTCAATAGCCACATTCTACCAACAGAGCAGTCTAAATAAGTATGCATAGAAAAAGGCAGACGTATTAACATCACCAAAAAGAAAATAGATTAAAATCCTAGAGATGGGGAGGGTTGGAGATGAAATACATTTTTGTCCTACTTCCTTGTGTATGTATGATTTTGTATTATCTCTTTATGTCTCCACATACACATAGTCCATCTCTACAAACGCTAATGAAGACTATTCTCCTGCCCCACCTTTTTCTAATACTGTAGCACCAACCCAATACATTGAAGAATTGAACTGAGACTTTTCATTGTTTACCAGTGCCTTTAATTCTCTTGACTTAAAGGTTCGCCACAGAGTTTCACTTTCTAGCTTACCTTCTAAATCTAAGCAGTTACTGAAAGGGAAGGAATGGTTAAGAGCAGTCAGACAATAAAGAACAACTAAAAAAGTAACAGGAGAAAACTTCAGGAGGCTTAGATCAGTGCTACCCAATAAAAATTTGTGACTCACATATGTAATTTTAAGGTTTCTAGCAGCTACACTAAGCAAGTAAAAAGAATCATGTAAAAGTAATTTTAATGATATATTTTATTTACCCAAATATATCCCAAAATAAATCCAGATATTATCATTCCAATAAGTAATCAGTATAAAAAATTATTAATGAAATATCTTACATTCTTGTTAATGTACGTCTTCAAAATCCAGTATGTCTTTTACACTTACAATACATCTCAATTTGGACTCAGCCACATTTCCGGTGCTCAGTAGCTACACGTGGCTAGTGGCTGCATTGCAGCTTTAGACAAAGAAACAAGAACTAAAAAGAAATGACTGAGAGAAAAGTAATAAGCAGTTATCTTGCAAACCAAGAGGGGGTGGGAATCAGCAAGTAGAATTCTGACTCATTGTTTTTCAAATATACTCCATTTTCCAATGCAGAATGCTACATGAATATTTTGATTTTTATAATTTGGGCCAGATTAGGGAAAGGCGAGCTGTGGGTTGAAGGGTTGTGAGTGCCTGGGCATTTTTGATTTTTGGTACCTTGGGCAGCTTGATAGTTGTTTTGTTTTCTTTTTTAAATCCCTGTGACTTCTTTATTTTATCACTGAAAATTTGTGCTTCTTAATCCCCTTCACCTATTTTAACAGCTTGACATTTTAACTATATGCATCAGGCAACCTTCTGATCCTAATTTGATTTCTCAAGTAAACTTTACATTGCAAAAAAGGACATGCTCTCCAGTTAATGCATCACAGCCAAATTAGCCCTGAATAGAATTATTAAATATTAAATATTAGTTTACTAATATTAAGTATTAGTAAATAGTCAAAGTTGACAGTCAAGATACAGTTACAGAGTGAGGTTCTTCTCTTTTTTTAAGATTTTATTTATTTATTTGAGAGAGAGAGAGAGCATGAGAGGGGAGAGGCAACCCGAGAAGGAGAAGCAAGCTCCCCACTGAGAAGAGAGCCTTATGCCAGGCTCAGCTTGATCCCAGAACCCACCAGGATCACAACCTGAGCCAAAGGCAGATGCTCAACTGCTTAACTGACTGAGCCACTCAGGCACCCCCAGAATGAGGTTCCTATCTGAAAGAGCCAACTGATAGCCTCCCGTAAGCCCATTGTCATTTTATACTATGTACTCATATGACATTGCTAGATAACAGAATAAAATATCTAACCATGGTCTTTTATTTTTTTAATTTTTTTATTATTTTATTATTAACAATTTGCCAACATATAGCATAACACCCAGTGCTCATCCCGCCAAGTGCCCCCCTCAGTGCCCATCACCCAGTCACCCCAACCCCCCACCCACCTCCCCTTCCACTACCCCTTGTTCATTTCCCAGAGTTAGGTGTCCCTCATGTTTTGTCACCCTCACTGATATTTTCACTCATTTTCTCTCCTTTCCCTTTATTCCCTTTCACTAATTTTTATATTCCCCAAATGAATGAGACCATATAATGTTTAAAATAAACAATTGAGAATGTTAGAATTGGTTTTTCCCAAATAGGTTGTTTTATAATTTTTCCCAAACTTTTTGGGAAACTTTTTGGGAATTTTGCAGGATATTAAGAGGTATTTATTGAAAAAAATCATTGCTAATTATATTTTTCATCTAAAATTTATTTTTAGACATATGTAAGAAAAGCACTATGCTGTTATATATAGTTGTTTGTATAATTATATAATTGCCTTTAGGAAACGGTGTGTGTACCTGAAAACAGCAGGAAATCCCAGGGTTCATGAAAGCATTATAGTGGATATGCACATGGAAGCAAGGCAACTACTGAGCTGATGATGTATGTTGTCTATTTAATAATCTTTGGTTTATGCTTGTCTTCTTTCAATATATATTTATGATATTTTTCACTTAATAAATTATGTCATCTACTCTGGAAGTTGTTCTGATATAAAGTTTAAAGTATATATGAACAAAGTTCTTATCATTTCTTGCAACAACTAATTCATGTATGCATTTACATTTTACTGTCTTGTGTGCTAAACTTAATAATGGTCCCCCCAAAGATGTTCACATCCTAATTGGATGTGTGGATATTTTACCTTATGTGGCAAAATGAGAAATAAAAAACTTATACGCTATGCTCATCTGAATGGATATTACTATCAGTACATTATCATCTTAAAAGCGTTCATGTAAAATAAGTTTGGAGATGGACAAGAGTCCATTTGATAGTGTTTCTATAATAATAACTAGACAATCACTGTAACTAAGATTGTTAAACTCTAAATAACTTATTGGTGGTAGCAACGGTAAATCCAGCTACTTTTTTATTCCTTTTTTTTTTTTTTTAATGATAGTCACACAGAATGAGAGAGAGAGAGAGAGGCAGAGACACAGGCAGAGGGAGAAGCAGGCTCCATGCACCGGGAGCCTGACGTGGGATTCGATCCCGGGTCTCCAGGATCGCGCCCTGGGCCAAAGGCGGGCGCCAAACCGCTGCGCCACCCAGGGATCCCCCAGCTACTTTTTTTAAAGTAATCTCTACATCCAACATGGGGCTTGATTGAACTCACAATTCCAAGATCAAGAGTCACATGCTCTATGGACTGAGCCAGCCTGGTGCCCCTAGCTAAAAATCTTTATAATGAGTAATATATGTTGATCAGCAATGAAATATATTTTTTTAGCCCTACTAAATGCTAGGGCTACCCACTGGGGATATAGCAGTCACCAAGACAGAAATGCTCCCTTCCCTCATGGAGGTAACAGTCTAGCAGGGGAGGCAGATATATACACTTAATTAGAATCATGGTAGGCGATATGAAAATATATAATAGGGAGTGGACTAACCTATTCAGGGTCGTCAGACAGGACTCATCTAGGAATGATGTTTAAGCTGTGATCTAAAAGATGACTGGAATTGGCCAAGAGAGAAGAGGAAAGAGGGAAAAAGGAAGTATCAGAGAGCTAGAGTACCACATGCAAAAGCCCAAAGGCAGTAAAGACTTCATGGCACTTGAAGAACTAAAAATAAAAACAGTGGAGCCTTTCAATTCAAGATAGCTGAGAACTTCCCCATGCCACTTTTCTTAAAAATTACAAGGAGGAAAAAGAGAAAACAGATTTCATCTTTATGGAACTGGTAGTCACCCCAAACCAGAATACATGAAAATGAAAAATGGATCGAGGATGGGGAAGCACTTAGCAGACTCAAGGAAGGTCAAGCTGAAGTGGTTAGAGGAGAAACCAAGGAGAAGCAAGGCAGGTAACCCTGAGGAACCCTAGAAAAGACTCACAAACTCTAAGTAGGGAAAGTGCAGGAAGGAAGTTAGAGTGAAAAATGGGAGAAGTGTAATGCAGAAAAGGGAGATTTGTTTAAAAATCTGTTTAATAAGCAGACAGATCCTCACATCCCCATTCTACCTGATATAATCAGGCTACTGCTTTTACTTTCACAGGAGACAGGAAATGTCACCTCTGGAGAAAGTAAACCAGAGGAGTTCTAGATGTGGCAGCATGAGGCATAGATCAGAGTGAGATATCTCACTGAAAAAAGAAGAAATAAGGGGCACCTGGGTGGTGCCTGCTTCTCCCTCTGCCTATGTCTCTACCTGTGTCTCTGCCTTTTCTCTGTCTCTCATGAATAAATAAATAAAATCTTAAAAAAAATTAAGTCTGAAACTGAAAATAAGACACCCAGTCTGCTTCTCCTGCTTGTAGAACTTTGCAGCCAAGTTCTACTCTCTAGCAAAAAATAAAAGGTAAAAACCTTATTCTCAGGAAAAACTGAACCATGTCAGAAAAAAAGCCAAAGACACTGACATCTGGGGCTCCCCAAAGGAAAACCCTTCAATTGCCAAGACTCAAACACACATTTGGGGCCTCTGATCAGCTTTTAGGACTTCACTCCTAAAATATGAACAGATAAAAATCACCATATACCAGAGGGAACCCTTCAACATGAAAAAGTAAAAAACCTCCAACATGTAAGAATTAGGGAGAGAAAAGGAATCACAAGAAACAGAGACAATGCAGGGAGCATATACATACTTCAAAGAAATTAAGAGTATCATCAGAAAAATATTGTATCTGTAAAACAAGAACAGGATACTAAAAGAAGAAATAGTCTAAGAGCAAGGAAGACCAGTTGAAAATTACAAATACTAAAACTATTTAAAATTCAGTAAAAAATTATATATTGAAAGATAAATCCTCTGAAGTAGAATGAACTTCACAGAATGAAACTGACACAGGTCAGAAAAAGTCATGAGGACATTCTAAAAAATAACTTGCTGATCTTTTTTTTTTAATTAGTCTTAAAAAATAATAAATAAATAAGTCTTATAGAGATAAAATGGTAGGCAGATGGGGAGCATTGCTCTAGATTTAAAAACTCTAAAGAAATAAAACAACAAAATGCAATGTGTGAACTTTGGATCCTGGCTTTTTTTTTTTTTTTAAGATTTATTTATTCATGAGAGACACAGAGAGAGGCAGAGACACAGGCAGAGGGAGAAGCAGGTTCTGAGCTGGGAGCCCGACGTGGAACTCGATCCCAGGTCTCCAAGATAACGCCCTGGGCTGAAAGGCGACGCTAAACCATTGAGTCACCTGGGATACCCCCACATCTTCTTTATGCATTCACCTGTTGATAGACATCTGGTCTCTTTCCATACTTTGGCTATTGTGGACATTGTTTCTATAAACATTGGGGTGCATGTGCCCCTTCGAATTACTATGTTTGTATCTTTTGGATAAAGTGCAATTGCTGGGTGGTAGGGTAGTTCTATTTTGAACTTTTGGGGGAACCTCCATTCTGTTTTCTAGAGCAGCTGTACCAGCTTGCATTCCCACCAACAGTGTAGGACGGTTCCCTTTTCTCTGCATCCTCATCAACATCTGTTGTTTCCTGACTTGTTAATTTTAGCCATTCTGACTGGTGTGAGGTGGTATCTCACTGTGGTTTTGATTTGTAATTTCCCTGATGCTGAGTGATGTTGAGCATTTTTTCATGTGTCTGTTGGACACGTGTAGATCTTCTATGGAGAAATGTCTGTTTATGTCTTCTGCCCATTTCTTGACTGGGTTTTTGTTTGTTTGTTTTTTGGGTGTTGAGTCTGATAAGTTCTTTTTTTTTAATTTTTTTTAATTTATTTATGATAGTCACAGAGAGAGAGAGAGAGAGAGAGAGAGAGAGAGAGAGACAGAGACACAGGCAGAGGGAGAAGCAGGCAGAGGGAGAAGCAGGCAGAGGGAGAAGCAGGCTCCATGCACCGGGAGCCTGATGTGGGATTCGATCCCGGGTCTCCAGGATCGCGCCCTGGGCCAAAGGCAGGCGCCAAACCGCTGCACCACCCAGGGATCCCTGATAAGTTCTTTATAAATTTTGAATACTAGGCCTTTTTCTGATAAGACATTTACGAATATCCTCTCCCATTCTGTAGGCTGCCTTCTAGTTTTTTTGATTGTTTCCTTTGCTATGCAAAAGCTTTTTATCCTGATGAAGTCCCAATAGTTCATTTTTTGTATGTTTTGAATTGTGGCCTCTTTTGAGAAGAATTCAAAATAGAATGAAGCAGTAAATAAATTGGCTGAATCCAATCAAGCGAGGTAGCTAATCAGACTGAAATCAGTCCTAATCAGATTGAAAATTAGTTAACAATATAATTGAAATCCTCCTTACTTTTAGTGGAACAGTTTGGGTATATAAAGGACAAGTGAAATCAAATCTATTTTTGAGATATCCAAGAGAATTTGGAGTATAAAAGAACTAACAATCACTCATATTTATAAATATAAAAGCACAAGTACTTAAAAAGGCTTGTCAATCAGACAATTAAGGTATGTGAAGAAATAAAATATTTAAATGTATGCAATTTGAAAAGAGTTATATTTAAGTGGCAAAACTGCTAAAATTTGCTAGATTCTTTTTTGATTTTGTTTTTAGATTTTTAACTAAAGTAAAATATGTATTAACTGAAATGTTATAATTCTCTTTTTATTCTTCTTTTAACAGCTTAGACAATTTACCAAGACAAATTTGGATCTCAGAAGACAGATCAGGGCTAGAAATTTAAATTTAAAATTAAAGTTAAGTGAGTCATTATCTTAGAGAAAATAAAAAATGCTGTGTAAGTGAAAAGAACACTCTTACGTTCAATCACTAAAGAAATATTTATTAAACTTCTACTATGTGCCAGGCACTGTGTTAAGTGCTAAGTTGCAATTGTGAGCAAAATGTCTATGGTATGGGATATATAAGTGGACTGCACTGTGAGCAGTACCAGTCCTTACAGGGTGTTGTTGAAAGTGTTGTTGTGTATTTGTAGAGTGATATTAATAAAGGGTTATATTCAGATTTAACCGATCAAATTATGTTCCACAGACATACTCCAATCCTGCCAAGATCCTGCCCACAAAAAAATTGTCCTGTAACCTGTGTACTGTATTTGTTCTGTTCCTTTGGATATTCATATAGGTTAAAAAATGCGTGTATAGGGGCAGCCCTGGTGGCGCAGCGGTTTAGCGCCGCCTGCAGCCCTGGGTGTGATCCTGGAGACCCTAGATCAAGTCCCAGGTCAGGCTCTGCATGGAGCCTGCTTCTCCCTCTGCCTGTGTCTCTGCCTCTCATTCTCTCTCTGTGTTCCTATGAATAAATAAATAAAATCCTTTAAAAAAATGCATGTATAATTATCTGTGTTTAGAACTTAAGTCTGTTTCACATATAAACTCCAAGATTTTTGCATGGGTTTTATACACACTAGATTTTCTTTTTTTTCTTCTTCTTCTTTTCTTTTTTATATTCATGAGAGACACAGAGAGAGAGGCAGAGACACAGGCAGAGGGAGAAGAAGGCTCCATGCAGGAAGCCTGATGTAGAACTCCATCCAGAGACCCCGGGATCACGTCCTGAGCCAAAGGCAGATGGTCAACTGCTGAGCCACCCAGGCATCCCCACACTGGATTTTCTAAGAATTCATTACAGCATAAATTCAGAGAAATCAAGAGAAACATACTTTTATGTCTTTCTGAACTTTACCAAAATTTGTTTACTATATCAGAAAATCAGATTATGGGGGCACCTGGGTAGCTCAGTGGTTGAGCATCTGTCTGGCTCAGGGTGTGATCCTGGGGTCCTGGGATCTAGGGAGCCTGATTCTCCCTCTGCTGTGTCTCTGCCTCTTTCTGTGTGCCTCTCATGAGTAAATAAATAAAATCTTAAAAAAAAAAAAAGAAAGAAAGAAAAAGAAAAAATCAGGTTATGGACTACAATACCATTCATGCTAATTGAGTTCCTAATTTAACATACATATCAGATTGTATTTGTGGCTGTCACATTCCCAGTGATTCTATGTATAGGTTCAACCAAATAAGTGCTTAAGTCTTCTCTTATATTATGCCTGGGTAGTGCCTGTCTAGTATACTGATATATATATTATTTTATGGTAACTGCTATTGTAAATTCCTTTCATTCTTCTCTATGAGAAGGGCATTATATAGATTTTTTAAATTGGCAACGCCTGGGTGTCTCAGTGGTTGAGCATCTGCCTTTGGCTCTCGGCGTGATCCCAGGATCGGTGATCGAGTCCTGCATCAGGCTCCTTGAGGGAGCGTGCTTCTCCCTCTGCCAATGTCTCTGCCTCTCTCTCTGTGTCTCTCATGAATAAATAAATAAAATCTTTAAAAATATATACAAATTTATAAAATTGGATTTGTACATATTTCTTATTAACCATACATTCTAGGATAGAAGAGGAGATGTGAAACACAGTTGCTTTACAAAGGGACTTTCAAAGTGTTCTAAGGCCCTTGCATTGTCCCAGGAGAGGTTAAAGTAAAAATGCGAATTTATGTTATACTTAGGAAGTTATACTTTTTATATGATTTGAAATTAGATCCACATGATTATTGGCCCCATTTTACTTCAGTGGCTTCATGAGACTGGGACACTTATAATTGTGCTAGCTCCAACCTGGGCCTGAAGGGGCCTAATGTGTCTCTGCCTGCCAATTTGTACTTCCTGTCATCTCCAGAAGAGTTTTCCCTGGGTAGCTGCTGCCCCTTAAAACAGAAGCCAGCAAAAAAGTCAATAGGCTAGAATTAGGGATTCGTTTCCCACCCCCCCACTTTCTTCTAGAGAAAGAGATTCCTTATTCCACTATTTTCCAAAGTTTCTTTTTTTTTTTTTAATTTTTTTATTTTAAATTATTTATTTATGATAGTCACACAGAGAGAGAAAGAGAGGCAGAGACACAGGCAGAGGGAGAAGCAGGCTCCATGCACCAGGAACCCAACGTGGGATTCGATCCGGGGTCTCCAGGATCGTGCCCTAGGCCAAAGGCAGGCGCCAAACCGCCGCGCCACCCAGGGATCCCTTTTCCAAAGTTTCTAAATGAGCATAAATTACTTTTCATTCTCAGAAGATGAAAAGGTCACTAATGAAAGAAAACCATTAACTCTTCTTGCAGTGGAGTAATGCATATTTATTTCTTCTAGGACATGAATTTCTCAAAGTGCACACAGTAGGCAATAAACATTTGTTGATGAAACAAGGAACCCTCTTAACTCATGTCTCCTGGGTAATCTTTGTTCTCAGTCTTCTTCTCCCTTCTAATACCAGCTTCCTCCTTTTCTCCACTTCCGGTTTCTCTCTCCCTGACTCCCCCTTCTCCTTCCCTAACTCTTCTTCTTCTTTTTTTTTTTTAAATTAATAATTTATTCTCTAGGGACGCCTGGGTGGCTCAGTGGTTGAGTATTTGCCTTCATTTCAGGTGTGATCCTGGGGTCCTAGGATCGAGTCCCACATCCGGCTCCTTGCAGGAAGTCTGCTTCTCCCTCTGCCTGTGTCTCTGCCTCTCAATGTATCTCTTATGAATAAATAAATAAAATCTTTAAAAATAATAATAATAATTTATTCTCTATATTGTCCCAGCATTTTATAATCTTTTTTTTTTTTCCTTAGGAAGAGAGAGAGTGTGAGCACAAGCAGAAAGGCAGAAGGAGTGGGGCGGGGTGCAGGAAGGGAGAAGAGAGAGAGAGAGAGGAAGAGAATCTTAAGCAGGCTCCATGCTCGGCCCAGAGCCTGACATCAGGCTCCATCTCATGACCCTGAGATCATGATCTGATCCAAAATCAAGAGTTGGATGCTAAAAAAAAAAAAAAAAAAAAGAGAGAGAGAGAGAGAGTTGGATGCTTCAATGGCTGAGCTACTCAAGCACTCTCTTCCCCACTGTTCTTTGTCATTCTTTTTTTTCCTTCTCTCCAGCTCTAATTTTTTCTGCCCATGTTTCTCTCCTTTTTTCTCTTTAAAGGTATTGCCTCCACCTTTCTTTCTTCTCTCCTCTTTCTATGGAAATTCTAACTCTTAGCTAGCCATAATAAATATAGTATTTATTGAAAGTTTATTATTTACAGAAATTTATCCTGCTTTTAGTGTTTGAATAATTTTATTTTATTTTATTTTATTTTTTAGTGTTTGAATAATTTTAAAATGTAAAAATGTATCTACAGCAATGCTTAATTTCTAAGGATTATTTTAATAACATATTAATAGCTAAATTAAGGGGCACCTGGGGGGTTCAGTCAGTGAAGTATCTGCCTTTAGCTCAGATCATGACCACAAGATCCTGAGATGGAGCCCCACATTGAGCTCCTTGCTTAGTGGGGAGCCTGCCTCTCCCTCTCCCTCTACCTGTCACTCTATCTGTGCGTTCTCTCTGTCAAACAAATAAAATCTTTCTTAGAAATAGCTAAATTAAATTGCTTTTTAATTATGTGTGATTCTTTCTTAACTTTTCAGGGCTCAGTGATTCTCTACAAAAGTTTCACTGCCTCATTTTATACCTCTCCAAAGAAAAGGACTGTCCTCTGGTGACCTTCAGGTCATGGAAATTCTGCTTATTTGGACAATATTTATGCACATAACCAAGGTCACCTTTAAGAAACTTTTGGAGTCCAGGCCAAATTACACCTCCTGAGACATCTCCCTATACATATTCCTACCCAGGTAGAATCAGGTTACAATGAGCAGTACAGGCAAACTCAGAAAAGAAAATAAATTAAAACCATGGGCTGACCACTCATCCTCTTTGGACCTTAGATTCCTTCTTGAGAACTAAAAAACCTGACACTGATGATTTCTAAGGCCCTTTCCACATTTGGCATTTCATGACTTAATCTCAATCAGTGGAATTTCTAAAAGGGAAACATGAAACCCAAGAGGTAGATATTCTCAGTAATCCTAGAATTTCAAAGCTAAAGTGGTTCCATGGTGTTCACCTAATGTGACCTGCAATAACTTCATCTCTTTGAACCTTGATTTCTATACCTGTAATATGGGACTACAAACCCGGTCTTGCCAGGCTGCTAGGAGAATTAGAGCTACTATCTGCCTACTGCTAAAAAACATGACAACAGGCCCAAAATGGAATTGCTCATGCTCAGCCCCACAGCACTAAATGGAGACTTAATTATAAGTTTGGCTCTCTCAGAAATGGAATCTTAAATCAGTCAATCAGGAATCACTGATCAGCACTCTTGAGGTAATCTGCCTACTAGACCCTCTGAAATACCCTTAAGGAAAGTAACTTTGCAATAACTAACCTGCTTTTTGTGCCTAATAATAATGTCCTTGTTCCTGCTCCCTTCTGCCTATAAGCCTTTCATTTTCACAACTCCTCAGAGCTCCTCTCTGTTTACTAGATTGGATGATGCCAAATAAACTCTTATTTTTTTTTAATTTATGTGTATTTATTGAAGAATAATTGACATACAATATCGTATTAGTTTCCAGTGCACAACACAGTGATCCAATATTTATAGGCATTATGAAATGGTTACCACAGTAAACTCCAGTTACCATCTGTCACCATAGAAAGTTGTTATATTATTGACTATACTCCCTACCCTCTATGTTACATCTCCACATTCTATTTATTTTATAACAGGAAGATTGTACTTCTTAATCCCCTTCACCTGTTTCATGCATCCCCTCCTCCCCTCTGCCAACTATCAGTTTGTTCTCTGTATCTCTGAGTTGGCTTCTGTTTTGTTTTGTTTGCTCACCTATTTTGTTTCTTAGATTCCACATATGAGTGAAATGATACAGTATTTGTCTCTTTCTGTCCGACTTATTTCACTTAGCATTATACTCTCTAGGTCCATCCACATTATTGCAAATGTCAAGATTTCATACTTTTTTTATGACTGTAAACTCTTTTTTTTAATTCTTTGAACTTTGTATGTATTCTAACTTGAAAGACAGATCAGTTAAACATTTATTTATTTATTTATTTATTTATTTATTTATTTATTTATTTATTTATTTATTTATGAGAGACAAAGAGAGAGAGAGGCAGAGACACAAGCAGAGGGAGAAGCAGGCTCCATGCAGGGAGCCCGACGTGGGACTCGATCCCGGGTCCCCAGGATCACGCCCTGGGCTTAAGGCAGTGCTAAACCGCTGAGCCACCCAGACTGCCCTATGGCTGTAAATTCTTAAAATTTTTAATGTGACTCAGTTTACCTTTTAACACTACTTTATGGAATGTGGAGAATAAATGGCAGTTATCATTTCATCTAAAACTCCTAACTTTTTTTTTTTTAAGATTTATGTATTTATTTGAGAGAGAGAACACCAGTGAAGGGGAAGGTCAGAGGGAAAAGCAGACTCCCTGCTGAGCAGGGAGCCTGATGTGGGGCTCCCTCCCAGGCCCCAGGATCACGACCTGAGCCGAAGCCAGATGCTCAACCACTGAGCCACCCAGGTGTCCCTCAAAGTAGAGGATTTTTTTTTTAAAGTAGAGGATTCTTATGAAAACTTTCATAAGCCAAAATGGCATAAAGAAGAAGAAATCAACAGTAATTTATGTGGAACATTTTTTTAGCATTCCCAGGCCCAAGTGAATAATCTCTCTTAAGCTTTTCTGATACCTTAAGGACACATCTTGCTAACAAAAGCACAAAATAAATTGAGGTAAAGCACAGATGCTCACAGACACAAATCAAAGCCATGGCACCTTGATCCTGAAATGCTGAGTGTACTTCAGGGGGGCGGTGAGATGGGGGGGTACAGGGACTTGTGTCAGGTACACGCTGCCTCTCTAAGGGTTTGCTGCAAAATAAATGCTGAATGCTATTTTTGCTTTTTGCCTTTTTTTCTTGTAAAAAACGAAAATTCTCTTTGGAGGGAGTCCGAGTGGTGGCTCCGCGTGCTGGCGGCCAGCTCCGGCCTCCCGGCTTGGAGGCAGCGGGAAGACCTGCCACACCGGCCGCTTTCCCGTGGTGGTCCGTTCCCATCTGGCCCCTCCCGGAGATGGCAGACGATCTTGGAGACGAGTGTGGGAGAAGCAGCCTGCGGGAGCAGCCAGCAGCCCAGAAGCATCAGATGGTGAAAGAGGAGGAGACACAGAAACGATGCAGCAGGAGACCGCTCCAGTTCCTGCCCAGTCAAAGAAAACCAAACAGCCTAAAGAATGTTTCTTGATAAAACCAAAGGAAACAAAAGAAGATGCCACCAAGACAAGGAGGAGAAGAAAGAAGAAAATTACTGATGTTCTTGCAAAATCAGAGCCAAAACCAGGGACCCCTGAAGACCTGCAGAACTTGATGAAGGACTATTTCAGCAGCAGCCGCTCAGTGACTGAATTAGAAGAACTAAACCTACCAGACTCCTGTTTCCTCAAGGCCAATGATTTGACTCATAGTCTTTCATCATACCTAAGAGAAATCTGCCCTATGTGGGTAAAACTTCGGAAAAACCATAATGAGAAGAAATCGGTTCTGATGCTGATCATCTGCAGCTCTGCTGTCCGGGCCTTGGAGCTCATTAGGTCGATGACAGCATTCAGAGGAGACAGCAAAGTTATGAAATTATTTGCAAAACACATAAAGGTCCAGGAGCAGGTAAAGCTGCTGGAAAAGCGTGTTGTACACCTGGGTGTCGGAACACCAGGGAGGATTAAAGAACTCATTAAACAAGATGAAAATCATCCAGGGTTAAATGAACCCACTATATACAAAAGTCTGCAATTACAAAGAAGTAACAAACTTGGCAGCCCCGGACAAGGAAAGGAAATATTTTTTGAGTTCATACTTGCACTGGTGCTATGCTAAACACTCCTAGGTATCTCATTAAATATTCATGGCACCCTTGAAGTCTGGCATTTTTATTTCTGAATAAAACTCTGATGCTCTGAAGGGTTAAGTGGCTCTCCCACAGTCTCTCAGTATAGGCCTTCCTAGTTCCACAGCTTTTCCCTCTCAAGGAGCTCCTGATCCTTGAAGAAATAAATATACATGGAAGGAGATTGACAACATGAGGCAGTGTATGCCAAGGGCCAAATGAGCATTTCCAAGTCCTATAGGGGTTGAAATTTATGGAGGTTGAATCTGTATGGAAGGCTTTGCAGAGACATACTGGTCTTTAACTGATCTCAGAAGTATGAGGATTGAAATAGGATCTTTGAAGTATGGAGATACGAGAAAAGCAATCAAGAATGGTGAAACTGCTGAATCAGAAGAGCACGCAGATACATATAATTGAGATACAGCATTGAGATTAAAGCCCCTCTTATGGATTCAGACCTTCAGAGTCAAATCCCAGATCCAGCAACTGGCCAGTTACTTAACCTTTCCAAATCTGTTTCTGCACTCAAATGACAGGGATAGTGGTAGTATCTTCCTCAAAGGATTGGTATAGTAATAAAATGCCAATAAAAAGTTTGCCACAATGAGTTTTACACCCTAAGAAATCCAATGCTAGGGACGCCTGAGTGGCTCAGTGGTTGAGCACCTGCCTCCCTTTGACCCAAAATGATCCTGGAGTCCTGGGATTGAGTCCCGCATCGGGCTCCGTGCATGGAGCCTGCTTCTTACTCTGCCTGTGTCTATGCCTCTCTCTTGTGTGTCTCATGAATAAATGAATAAAATCTTTAAAAAAAAAAAAAAAGAAAATTCTCTTTGGACTTCTTTCAGTTGGCAAAAACAGTTCCTCATGCAGGTCTTTTAAAAACAATGCAGCATAATTCAAATTTTCAGAAATCAAGAGGTTTTTTTTTTTTTAAGATTGTATATGTTTATTCATGAGAGACAGAAACATAGGCAGAGGGAGAAGCAGGCTCTTCACAGGGAGCCCGATGTGGGACTGTTTCCTGAAACCCTGGGATCAGGCCCTGAGCCAAAGACAGAGGCTCAACTGCTGAGCCACCCAGGTGTCCCAAAAATCAAGGGATATTTGTATATGATCTCCACCCCAAGGCCTGAACATCTACTAATTTTCAGCATCCTAGGGCCTACCAGCATTTACAATAAAGAAAAAGAGAGAATAGCCCAAATTGCTATCTAAACTTAAGTGTTAAATGCTTTAGAAACTCAGAGCAAGAAAACAAACTTTCTGAAATTGCTCTCTTCAACCTTGTTTGTATGCTGCTATCATGTGATTAAAAAGGAATGGTGGGGGTGCCTTGCTGGCTCAGTCAGTACAACCTGTGACCATTTTTTTTTTAAAGATTTTATTTATTTATTCATGAGAGACACAGAGAGAGAGAGAGAGAAAGAGAGAGGCAGAAACACAGGCAGAGGGAGAAGCAGGCTCCATGCAGGGAACCTGACTTGGAATTCGATCCCAGGTCTTCAAAATCAGGCCCTGAGCTGAAAGCAGCACTAAACTGCTGAGCCACCTGGGCTGCCCCAACCTGTGACCCTTGATCTCAGGTTTGTGAGTTCAAGCCTGACTCTGGGCTTACATTAAAAAAAAAAAAAAAAATCATAGCATGGCTGAGGAAGGACTGAGATAGCAAATTTCCCATAATTTCTTCAGCCAGGGGAGTGGGGGGGGGGCGTGTACACACTATAGCCCTTTAAAAATAAGAATCTAGGGATCCCTGGGTGGCGCAACGGTTTGGCACCTGCCTTTGGCCCAGGGCGCGATCCAGGAGACGCAGGATCCAATCTCACGTCGGGCTCCCGGTGCATGGAGCCTGCTTCTCCCTCTGCCTCTGCCTCTCTCTCTCTCTCTCTCTGTGTGTGACTATCATAAATAAATAAAAATTTTAAAAAAATAAAAAAATAAGAATCTGTGAGGGCAATTACTTACTGCACCATTAAAAAATTGCTCCATTAAAAAGGACACATTACAGAGGGTTCTCATTACATAGAGAACCAAATGTCCTCTTAAGATGTTAAAGGGAGGTGGGTGGGGGTATAGGGTACTGTAACTGGGTGATGGGCATTAAGGAGGGCACTTGATGTGATGAGCACTGGGTGCTATATGCAACTGATGAATCACTAAATTCTACCCCTGAAACTAATAATATACTATATACTATATACTATATACTATAGTACTATATGTAAACTAATCGAATTTAAATAAACAATTTAAATTCAATAATATACTATAATTATACTATATACTATAATTTATACTATATACTATACTATATAATTATACTATATACTATATACTAATATACTATATGTTAACTAATTGAATTTAAATAAACAATTTAAATTCAAAAAAGAAAAGATGTTAAATTCTCTTTAAATGAACTCGATTGTTACCAATGATTATGAATGAAAAGAGAAAATACTGAAACTATTTTGCCATTATAACATGGTTTTATTTTCATTCAAACTGCATAATGTTAAGGAAAGCAGTATATTTTGATACATAATAATTAATGGTTGACATTGACGAGGTCAACTTTATCTCACAAGAAAGTCTTTTGGTATTCCTTTTATTTTTATTTATTTTTTTTAAATATTAGGAAAGTTTTCTTTCTTTTTTTTAAAGATTTTATTTATTTATTTATTTATTTTTAAATGTAAGGCATTTTCTTTTTTTAAATTTTTATTTATTTATGATAGTCACACACAGAGAGAGAGGCAGAGACACAGGCAGAGGGAGAAGCAGGCTCCATGCATCGGGAGCCCGACGTGGGATTCGATCCCGGGTCTCCAGGATCGCGCCCTGGGCCAAAGGCAGGCGCCAAACTGCTGTGCCACCCAGGGTTCCCAGATTTTATTTATTTATTCATGAGAGATACACACAGAGAGAGAGGCAGAGACACAGGTAAAGGGAAAAGCAGGCTCCATGCAGGGAGCCCGACGTGGGACTCGATCCCGGGTCTCCAGGGTCGGGCCCTGGACCAAAGGTAGCGATAAACCGCTGAGCCACCCGGGCCTCCCCTTGGTATTCCTTTTAAAGATAATATTGGTTTGGAATGGAATGTGTGAATATGACATTAAGAGTAAATACTTTAATAAAAATTGTTTTAAGTACAAAAATAACATTAATACCGATAGTACCTTTTTCTCTAATACTAATAGTACCTAATTTCTCTAGTGCTTTGAGATTATATACTTCTGCATACATTTTGACTATATTTTCTTCCTCATAACAACTTCAAGGCAAAGGTAGGTCAGATATCATGTTACAAATTAGGAAACCCAAGCTTTTGCATGACTTGCTCAGCCAGTGAGTGGTGGAATGGCCTCAAACTGAGGTCATCTGGCTCTTTTTCCAATGTTGTTTTCTTCACTGCATCATACTGCCTGCCCTATGAATCTGATATCACTTCATGTTTTTGTACTTCCTTTTTTATGTACTTTGTACATTCACAAACACTGATGTACTTCCAAGGAGGCATCATAACTCCAAGTAAACAAAAACACTTTGGGCTCTTGGTTAACAGGCAGAAGAAATCTTTCTGAATTTACCTAGTCCCTATTATTTACTGTCTGTTTTTCATTATAAAGTTTCCCCAAAAGTGGAGGTAATGGGCCAGGGCACATGCTGTGGTAAGCAGATTTTGCTTTATTTCAGTTACTGAAAGTTTCGGGGGAAAGAGGAGGTATGATTTGAGCAAGTACAACAATCTCTTGATTTTCTATGGTGGCTCAATGGATAACTGGAGTCTATTTTGCAAGCCTAAAGTTTACTTGTTCAAACCCTGGTTTGAAGAATGTATACTTTGGAACCTGTTTGTTTTCTTTTTCTGATGCAGTTCATTGAAAAGTGAAATGAACTTTATGAAGTGAAAAAAAAAATTCCCAGCATTCTCAGTATTGTGTTCAAGAATGAGACTTCTGTGTTCATAAACAGAGGCATCGTGTGCTGTCAGAGCCTGTGCATGAGATCTGGAAGGTCAGAGTCTGTTTGTAAACTGTAACAGGAGTAATGAGAGATAAACATATTATCAGTTTACACCCAGCCTGCTGAAGCCCCAGGGTAACATATTTCTACATTTTCCATTCTGACTCCCAGCAGGACTTCTATTTACAGGGGTTTATTTGATCTTGAATCTCAAGCTGAGCCTTTTATGTCCCTTTAAGAAGTCATAGAATTCTTTATTTTTTTTAATTTTTTTTTATTTATTTATGATAGTCACAGAGAGAGAGAGGCAGAGACACAGGCAGAGGGAGAAGCAGGCTCCATGCACCGGGAGCCCGACGTGGGATTCGATCCCGGATCTCCAGGATCGCGCCCTGGGCCAAAGGCAGGCGCCAAACCGCTGCGCCACCCAGGGATCCCTCTTTTGCTGCTTTATTTATTTATTTATTTTAATTTTTTTAAGTCATAGAATTCTGAGATGAATTGTCTTCACTGGTGGGGGTGGGCAAAGGAGGAAGCTCCTGCCCTTGGCAAAATCTCAAGCTGAGCCACCCAGGCATCCTGGATTGGGTTTTTTTTTTTTTTTAAAGCATCTTTCTTTTAAAAATAATTTAACCGGGACACCTGGGTGGCTCAGTGGCTGAGTGTCTGACTTCAGCTCAGGTGGTAATCCCAGGGTCCTGGGATCGAATCCTGCATTAGGCTCCCTGCAGAGAGCCTGCTTTTCCCTCTGCCTATGTCTCTGCCTCTCTCTGTCTCTCATGAATAAATAAGTAAAATCTTTAAAAAAATAATTTAACCGTAATATTGTTCCAGGAGACCAAATGAATACATTTGCAAATAGCTTGGTGTGGAGAAAATACATTTCAGCTCTTAGGTAGGACTGGCCTGTCCCTCTTTTTTTTTTTTTTAAATATTTTTATCATAAAATAAAACACAGAAACAGATGACACTATAAAGGAAATGTCTGCCTTAATAAATTATTCTAAGGCAAACACCC